TTTACGTGATTAGTACATTGATATAGAATATTTGCCTTGCAAGAAGCTTGTTTTCAGCCATTATCTAGGTGTGCTTTCATCTGTTTGAAGCAGCACGATTTTGAGTTCTACATAGCCAGAGTATGGAAAAGTTCAGGAGTTTTTAGCGATTATGGCATCCAGAACATCAAGGATGCCAACGCGGGTCAGTCTTTTGTTGTGAAAAATTACAGTCAGTTGTTTCCTATTGCTTTTTCTCAACTTCCTCTTAATGTAACACTTAATATTCGTAATTTTTCAGCTGGTTTGAGGGTTTCCGCCTACATTTCCCCCTGTTTGAGGGATGACTGTGCTGCCCCACAAACTCAAGTAAATAACTATAAACTAGAAATTGAAGGTCTCAAATCAGATTCTAGGAAAAATGAGATAGTTTGTAAACTCAGAAAATGTCTTGCTGCACTATCAATTTGATATTTTTGTTTTTCTTCCAACCAAGTGTACTTGAATTTGTAGATTGAGGATGTCGTAAAACGTCTTAACAACGAAGGTGCACGGATCAGAATGCTTTGGCTAGACATTCAAAAAAGTGATTGGCCAGATGATTTCGATGCTAATAGGGTCTTCATCAATGCGATGGGCAAAAAATTAGATGTGCGTAAAAGCATTTTTCTACCTATTTGTGGGAAAACAAATTTTAAACTCTCTAGATCTTAGGCTATGGATGTCAAGTGGGGGATCTGCACTAACATCCGTGACTGGAATAGTACCGTTGGCGTCGACTGGGATCAATGGTCCAATAAACCGCTGTGGTGGGTAGATTGGGCAGAAAATGATGGAAACCGAGTAAGTTGCCACATTCTCAGAAATTAACTCTTCAAATTATAGGGTTGTTCCAGAACAATCGTGAAAAATTCGAGTCATTCGGAGGATGGACGAAACCAACACTGCACCAGTACGCTGGAGATTATGCTGGTCCTTGTGGCATTGACATGAACCTCGATTGGTACGAGAATGAGGTTGAATAAATGCTGTTATAGGGATGTTTGGGTATATACCTGTACATGGTTATCTCTTGATAATT